TTTAACAGGAGCAGTTGCCAGTCTTGCTCTTGTCCCTCGGAGCTGCTTGGCTTGAGGTGAGCAGCCTAGTGCTGACGACGCAGCGCTACCAGGGCCCTTTCCCTAGAGACCACGGGCTGAGAAACCCACAGCTGTGGCTCTTCTCTGACTGGGTGTGCCACCACTGACTGAATGGGAGAAGGTGCCATTTAAATGCCAAGCTTATGCTTTGGGGTCTCTCATTGCCCTGGTGGGGGCCCTTAGGAGTGTGTTCAGGTGGCCACAGAAAGCTCCCTTAATGGTCATCAGCCAGGACACACCCACCCCCATTCTGCCCCCTCTCCTGTGCCAGGTGGCATGATGATGACCCAGGTAGCTCTGGGCTATAGTGGCTGTGTACTGTGAGGTTAATGCTGATTCAGCAAGACCCTGACAGCACAATAGCTGCTCTATCACCTCCAAGACTGGGGGAACAAGCAGCCAGGTCTTTTCTGTCATGGAGTGGTGGCGAGCTCACACTGTTCACCTCTCAGAGCTCCCCACCAGGCCTGCGCTGAGCCACACTGGTCTGGGGGAGGAGTGAGTGAGCTGTGCTCCTGTCCAACGGTATGGCACACCTTAGGCTCGTTTGGCTTTCTCTTGAGGGATGCACAGGCAGAAATGACGAGGTGCCTCTGCCAGTGGGGCTCTGACCATGGGCCTCCCTGGAGTGGCATGACAATGTCAGTGAAAGCCCTTAGGCCACTGCTTTTAAGGAGCAGAAATGGGTTTTCTTCTGGTTGGGTTGGCACTCTGCCTGTTCTGAGGTAAAGGCCTGCCCTCTCTCCAGCTCCTGTCCCCATCTATGGGAAGTCTGCATGGGGCATCAAGCTCCCGGTACTCCTGCTGCCTCATCAGCTCCTTTTACATGGCAAGGGGGTGGGGGGCACTGAATCGATGTCATTAAAAGAACAAAGAAAGGGGACTTCCTGGAAGATGGCGACAGAGTGACACATACCAGAGGGACTCCACAGAATCCAGCCCAGGAGAGTTGCTTAGAGGGGACTTTAACACAACTGGAACGTAGGAGGAGCATCATAAAGATAAGTAGGCACAGGACCACATGGCCCGCCCCACTATGAGACCTGACGCCCCTCACTGACCCATAGCCCTACAGCGGACAACACCAGAGACACAGTGTGGGAATTGCACCCGATCTGATCCTGCCACACCGAGGCAAGGCCCTAAGGGGGTGCAACAGAACAGCAAGGGAATGGAGCAGCGTGATCCCCAGGGAATGCTGAAGGTGGACTTTGGGGCCAGGTTGTGGTGCCCCAACAGACTGGACTGGAAA